GGATCTACCCCGGTTCATATAGCGGCCCTCTATGGCCAATACGGTAAGTGTTGCTCTACTGTTGCGTGTGAATAGAAAATAACCAAAATTATTTACTGATCAATTATACCAGAGCCTGAAATACGTGCTTGTCCCTCAAAGATGTTTTCCATAAATCGCACATTTACATACATTTGTGGTCGGCTCCGGCAAAACCAGTCTTTTGTCAGAAAAATTCAAAAATTAAGTTATTGGTATTTTAATTTCTGCATGAATTCTTAAATTTTATTCCCCCATCCCCTGCCATGTACTCTCCCCCCTCCACCTGCTCTTCGCTCAAGTAAGGTTATTAACCTCATCTTATTTTTGTCGGTTACAGATTGTTTAAAGTCTTTATTACAGCACGGCGGTTCAGCCGCTGCTGTCAGAGTTGACGGATTTACCCCGTTGCATGCAGCCGCAAAGTTTGGACATGCAAGGTAAACTTTACATATCATTTCTGCGTAACAAATATAAATTTACTGTTTGCATAGCGAGGACAGCTGTTTGTGGCAGTGCTATATAGCGGGTTGATTAATAACAATAAGTGAAAAACTTAGTTGTGATAAAAAGTTGTTTCAAGCAGTTTCCTCTTTTATCAAGAAGCTATATATTATGGTTTATTTTTAAAAATTATGAAGAATTAAGAGAAAATATAAAATTTGTAATATAAGATTATGAAATAACATATCTTCCAATGTGAAATTACCTGTATTAATTTTTCACTGATTTACAGATGTTTTAAATATAAAAATCCTTAATTAGGAAGAAACGATCTAATTTCTTAACTTTGAGGTCTGGGATTCAATCCCTCGCTGTGCATTGTGCTTGCCTGTGTCCTTGAGTAAGACACTTTTTGCATGTGCTTCTCTTCACCTAGGAGTATAAATTAGTACTTGGCGGGGTTGCCTGCTCCGGTGCTTAAGCATGTAGCCCCAATGACCTGGAAATAATGCTTCATACTTCAAAAGAAAAGTACTATATAATATAACAAATAAATAAAATAAAATAAATAATTTTATTGCTTTTCACCATGTAGGTGCATGCAGATTTTACTTGACGCTGGAAGTCCAGCCAGCCAACCGGACACCATCGGTTGGCAGCCTCTTCACCAGGCTGCGAGCAGTGGCTCAGGAGCGTGCGTTCAAGTTCTTCTTAGCCAGGGTATATCAAGCTTATGCAGATCACAGGTAGGATATTGATCAACCCATTCTCTTGCTGTCTACACTACTAAATGTTTGTCAGACTTGGCATGCCATGTCTGATCAGATTTTTCAGTGTTTGATTATTTCAGACATAAGATAGTAATTGTGTCTTTTTGTCTCTTGTGAGATCAAAAATGTTTTACTTTTCATTAATAAGGAGTTTCGATTCAGAATGTAAAAACGAGAACGTTGAACAAATTCACTCACCCATGACTGACATTTGTATTCAACAGTAGATAAATTTAGATTTTCGAAGGGCACATACCCACAGATTTGGAAAACACAAGATGCTCTTCAATTCAAATAAGAAAGTATAATACATACTCCAAGTATTGAAATACACGCCATCGTGTTGGGATTCAA